CTAAAAAGTGAAATTTGCCTTATTAGTCTGAATATTGGTCTAATTTTTCTGTTCTGGTTTTGTTTTAACAGGTACCTCCCTCGTCCCTTAATCGGAGTCATCGACAAAGTCATTCAAACAAACGCCTACTTTGCTCACCACGAGAACATTCTACTGGCCATGCTTTTTGATGATCTGAAGGAGATCCGACTGGAGGCGGCATCAATTATAATAGGAGCAAGGAACCACCAGCAAAGTGCTTCAGGTATGTTAAACGTAAAACAGCGCTTGCTTTCATGCCCAATACTGTTTTTGTCCATTACTAATAAAATTGCTTTTTTTCCAGGTAAGCTACGACGGTTCCGAGTACCCACAATTAATTTCAATGCAACATCGTATAGGAGTATGATTACATGGCCGAAAACGTGCTCTGAACCTCCTGTGTTACGCCATTTTTCTAATGATGAAATAAATGAAATAGCTCTGACAAATTCTAAAACAAGCGTACACAAACTCCCTTGTCATACACAGGCAGTCGAGAGGGGCGTTAAGATAGTCACGGAGGCGTCATCTTCTGTCTGCGGTGAACGTTCACGAGAAGGCTTCATCGAGTGCCGATCAGAGAGCAGAAAGACCCTTCCTAATCTCGACACAAAAAAAGATTTCTTATTATTTTTTAAGAACTTGAACAATGAATGACGCCAGCTTATTTATACTTTGATCTTTCAGGAGAGCGCCAAAAGCAGGAACAGGACCAATAGAAGATTCGGCAGAGAAGAGAAATAAGTACATTTTTTTATTTGATTTTATCATTTTTGTTTGTATTGTAATGTATTACAAACGTTCCTCAATAAAAAAAATTGAATTTTCAATTTGTCTTTTTATTATTTTATCGTATGCCGTTTCCTTTGGATACATTCCGTTTCAGTCGAGGCACATCTCGTGTCCAAAAAACGTCACATTCCCTGTCTGGCCATTTAAAGACGACTTTCCTAGCCATTTTTGCCTCAAAAACCTTTGTATTTGGAGACACTTCCGATGCTCCCGGTCGAACGACTCCACTTCTGGCATCGGCCATAGTAGTGTTGGATGCATTTTGACGAGACGAGACGATTTCATCCTCACGAAATTTCTGTGGGAGCGCTAGTTTTAAAAATATGGCCGAAAAACGCGTTTTTGGGCAAAAAATAGCCGTTTTTCGACATAAATGTCAAAAAGCTAAGCCAAAGACGTTGTCACACAGCGTAGCGACTTCTAGGGTATGTTCCCAGATATATTCCGCAACTTTTACGAGATAGCCGTTTCCTGGGAAATGCCTAGGAGGTCCGCTGGAGGCCAAAAAAGGGTGATTTTGGCTTGTAGACCTAATTTTAGGCCCTTCCCGAGGGTCGAGGGGCCACCAATAGGCCAAAACGGACCTTGCACCTTTTCTTGGCATATCTTGAAGTACAATTTTCCGCGATCGTTTTTTGGATCCCAGATTTTCACTCCACCTTAGTTCACATCCAATGATTTGGACGTAAATTAACAGATGCGTTTGTTACGTCTACAGTGTGGATGTACTTACGAGCCGTGTGAGGCTGGTGAAAATAGCTCCACAAAATCTGTTGTCATTTGTCTTTTCTCATTTACATCCACACGGATGACGTTCTGCTCGAGAGTGATCACTCTGAAAATCGAACAGTACGACAGGTGCAAGAGTGGGGCCAAAGTCCTACACATCCAAATGTAGATCAAGCTGGTCCTACTCAGAAACTCTAGGACTACGCTCTAAGCGTAGGACATTCTCCTACCCTTGATAAAGATTTTCAAAGAGTTACCGTGGGGTACATTCCCGGTTTAGGCTCAGTGCATATTGCCGCTCATGTCGCGCGCTACACTTGCAAGAGCAGAACAACTGTGTTGCACACTTCAAAAGTGTTGAACAGTTGATAACTTAGTTTATCAATGCAGAGGAGAAACAGACATACAGGCATGCGTTTACTCTTTGGTTCCTTTTGTCATTCTTGAGGATGTGTAAATCAGAGAGGCGACAATAAGCGCCAGATTTTGTGGAGTTATTTTTCCCAGCCTTACACGGATCGTAAGTACATCCACACTGTGGACGTAACAATCGCAGGCGTTAATATACGTCCAAATCACTGGACATATTTTTGCAAAGCGCTTCATTTACGTCCAAACTGTTGTGGACGTATTTACCGTGGACATGCCGGGGGACCAATCTGCCCGGGGCACATTGGGCCGACATGCATGGGACACATTAAGTAGATAAAAAAAAATATGCCGAATACAACCCTAGCTTTATCCCGAACACCATTACGTGTTTTTCTTAGAAGAACATACCAAGTGGAAACAAGATAATTTCTAAAGAGTAAATAATTTGGTTGCAGGACGGCTCAAACTGCCCCATGGGTAGCAAATTTAATTAATGACTCTTAAAGATAACTGGATTGTCCTAATCAATTGGACACTGGGTGCAATCTGCAGTTTTAAGAGTAGGCTTTTCCATAAAACTTGGTTTACAACCGAAAATTCGTGATTTGTAGGTCTAAATGGGCTAGTAAGGAGTAAACACGTTTTACTTTTACCTGATTTTCAGGTCAAAAAATATTTAACCCCTCGCCAGTTCAATGGTTGCCAATGACCTTTGTCGTACCTTTCAGAGAATCAGTAAGGGTGGTAATGACTTCTATTATAGTTTGATTCAGGTCACTGCGATTGCTCTATCCTCATGAAACTTGATGGTGGACCAGTGTGCTCTCATGGACCAATGTGCCCCACTCTCCCCTAAACAGTTCGATTCGGTTAGATTAGCAGATCTGTCACACATGCTGCCTTGACTTTGTTTTCAAAAGAAGTATGTATTGTTTCTTTGTTTTTTGCTTTAGGGGCCATACATCACTATCCTTAGGCGGTTCGAAAAATGTGTCATCGGAGAACATGGATATGACGGAAGTACACACTAAATGGCGAGGGACAATTTTTGTACGTAGGCTGGATGTGTCTTTGAGCACATCTAAACCAAATGCAAATTTGCATCCAAGTCACATACAAAATATAACATTTGTACCTAGCCTAGGTACACTTTGTACCTCTGTACAGACAAATTTGTATCTGATGAAGATGTGCTCAAAGACACATCTAACTAAGGTACAAAAATTGTCCCTCCCCATTTAGAGTGTACTCATTTTGAGATGACATTCACGCATTTTAATCCCTACAAGAGAGATGAAGTGCAGAAATCGTCAACAAATATTACATATAGTGAACCATTTAACGACTCATATTGGGTAAGAAACTATGACCTTAACATGAAACGGACAAAAGACCCTCCAATAAGGTATTTCACTAACAAGGGAACCTTTTCAGGTGTAAATCCCCGATTTCTTTGGTACTCGGAAAATTTAAAGGTTTTTATAATAGAAGTCGGATGGCACTTGAAATTTTTCCTAAACTTAACATTTACTATGAGTTTACTTAAGCCTGACACTGTTTTTTGATCCAAATATCCTTCTATCGCTTTAACGGTTCAAAATAGAGCAAAACGGACAAAATTATGGCCCAAAGGGCACTACGTTGACGAGTTACCCCTTACAACACTGCTTTACATTTTTCAAAAAATATTTTTTCTCTAACACCTTACTCCTACCTTATATAGGGGAAAACTAAATGTCAGGTTTAGGAAAAATTTCAAGTGCCATCCGATTTCTACATAAATAACTCTCAAATTTTCCAAGTTTCAACGAAATCGGAGATTTACACCTGAAAAGGTTCCCTTGTAAGTTTAAACCGAATCCACAGAAGAACAGCATTGCTTCCTGAACTGTTTCCTCCCTGACGCTCGACGCTCATAAGCTGACGTGAACGAAGTTCTCGGATCCGTCACTAGAGCAATTGTAGATCTTGTGGCAGGTCCACGAACTTCGTTCGCGTCACCCAACGAACGTCAGGGATGAAACAGTTCAGGAAGCTGTACTGTTCTTCATTCCAGTTTAAGTTGGGTGAAAAACCCGATAGCGTGTTCCAGGCTATCCTAAACGGAAGTCAAAAATAGCAAAGGCAAGTATCTGTTTCCGTAGTAACTTTGATCGGTGAGCTAATCACGGGCCTCTACGGCCTTTCGGGTGTAAGAAACTGTGAAATGAGTTTCGAGCGCCCCTCCATATTTCATAGGATAGAATCGGGCCAAACTACCACGATACTCACTCGGCGGAAACAGATAAATCAGTGAGTTTGTTCTTTTCTGCAACACCCTATTGATGAAGAATAGGGTATTTCACTTAGTTTAAACCGGACCCGAAGAAAAACAGTAATGCTTCCTGAACTGTCTCCTCCTTGACACATATTGGCTCACACGTGGACGAAGTTCTTAAACCCGTCAAGCAGGGTAGTCAAAGCCCGCGGACCCACCGACAGGGCTGTGACTACCCTAGTGAGTACTCTGTGCATAGAAATGTTACACCACCTCTGCCCAAGTTCGACGTCAGAGTAAACATTGTGAACTCCGCTAATTTTCGAGAAAGTTAGTGACAACGAATTTGATCGTTTCCTGACTAAATATAGTAAAGTTTTTTCCAAATCGAAATTTCTTCCTAGAGTTCTATGAATATGTCACTCCAGAAATCGAAGGCGCCTGGGACAGATATTCCCATAAACTTGCCCCGAAATCGAATGAATGGATTTAGGCACTGGAGTTCACATATCGACCTTTTCAACTGCTCTAGTAACCCACTCCCACTGTTGCAGTATTTTGAGGCTTTCAGCATTACACTAATTAATGTTGTGCTTTTCGGTATGTAGGTGGTATAAAACCCGTAAAGAACCATATCACATATTTACGTAACGGGCCGCGAAACGTAAATGGCCCGTAAATCACCCAATGGTCTTCACTAATAGCTCAGCCAATGAAATTTACGTTGTTACTAGGCAAATTATTCAGTGCAGGGTTTCTTACTCTGTCCAGCCAGCGTACGTAACCCCACAGATACTCTGATTTTCTGAATTATGTTTTATCTTTCCAGCAACGGACTGTCTACGACATCTGGTCAAACAATGAATGGAAGCCCAACGCTCTCGTTTTGAACTATCCATCAAAAGCTTGTTCTATGATGAAGCTGAACAGGGGAGAGGCCTTCGCGAAAGTGTTCAAACAGGATGCGTCCGGTGGTTGCCTTATCCCCAGAGTAAGATTAACAACAGAGACAAGATAAGACTTACAATAAGATATATGTTACTTTATTTTCACACACAAAATAAAACACGTTCAAATACACATATTTCACGTATACATTTTGTGTCTGTTTCCAGGGAACATATTACGTTGCCAATCAGGACCCGCGTATGGCCCTGTTCCCGAAGATGCCATACGGCAAATACCGATGTCTTTTTACTAACGGTTTGCCTTGGCGGAAAGGATGCATGGCATGCGCTTATGTCGAGATGGATCTCATTCCGAAATAAAACTGACGAGTAGCCGTACGGCGAGTTGTCTAAACACCGGATCCAAACAGTCACAACCCAAAATATCGGTTGGCCGTTGGTCCGAAGAACTAGCCAGCCCGCCCCTCCGCCAAACGAAGTGGCCAGCTTCACTTCGCTCCGCCGGCAACTCAATTCAGCAGAGGCCGGGCCTGCTTGGACTGCCGGTGGCGTTAATCGGCCCTGCAGCCAATCTGCAGAAGCCCTGGGAAGGCCGTCATAAAATAAAAACCAAAAGTTTGCCCAAAACCCCACAAAAACTGCAAGAAAACCATAAAATGGCGATATCCCCAGAACTATTACACAACGCAAAGAAATATCAAATTTCTCTAATGGCCCCTTAAAATACTGACTAGCTATATGTACGCCAGACCCCACGTCTCGCGTAACAGGCTTCGCGATATCTCACGAAACACTGTCACGCTGCGACGCGCCTGGCGCACATATAGCCAGGCCTGCGGCGCTGACACTGGAGACGAGTTAATAGAAGAGTATACTGAACAAGGGCCTTCTGGCCCCCAAATTTGACAAGCTCACATTGCTCAAAAATTAGGGAAATGAAACTTCTAATATCTAACAATCATATTCATTAAAAATGTTGACAGATTATTGTTATTTAAAAATGAACGTGGTAGTTATAATAGACTAGGTAGATGTCCGCCAGACCACGTCTCGCGTAACAGGCTTCGCGATATCTCACGAAACACTGTTACGCTGCGACGCGCCTGGCATACATCTACCTAGGCCTGCGTGCTGACACCCGAGTCGGGCCAAAGTCGTGAGTAGGCACTCGGCCCCCAAAGTCACAAATTTTTTTCTTCGGGGTTTTATTTTTACGAGTTACCCTACCGGAGACTAACAAATATCTGAGAAAAAACATAGAAATGTTTTGCGGTCATTTTCGTGTAGAAAACCCCCTCTGGTGCCAAAACGGTTAAAGATAGAGTCAAATGGACGAAATTTTCGCCCGGAGGGCTCTACTTTGATGATGTACCCCTAAGAAAACAGTAAAACAACATTTTTAAAAAACTTCATTTTGGGGACCTGTGGTTTTTGTTCCTTTTTAAATCCAATTTTCGAGCTAGAATGCTCTTCTTCGAACTCGATCTGTCTTTTTATGACACA